CAAGCATATTGGTCTAAATTTCTGAATTTCTTTAGCATCATCTATTTTTAGTAATTATCCCATAACCGAGTCTAGAGATATCTAGCTTCCCTTTATGAAAATCATTTAACATATTCATCAAATCTCCCTTCACCAAATCCCAAATGTTGGTAGAAGTCTGTAGGGAGCCCATCAGGACCTGGACTTTTGTTCTTCTCCATACCAAACACTACACAATGCAATCCCTCCATTGAAAAAGGCTCAACTAGCATGGAGGCATGCTCCCTGGTAATCCCAGGGGCATCTTGATTTTTTAAGCCAATTGTAGTTGTATCAGCTTGCCCAAAAAGGTCTTTATAAAATTTTGTAATATATTGAATTAAATTTTCCTCTCCTTCCACAATGCCCTCTTCCTGATGTAATGATACAATTCTATTTTTCCTTATTCTTCCATTTTGCATGGTAATATTTAGTATTACCGTCCCTATATTTAATCTCTTTGTCTTTATATCTCTGGAGCCATTTTAATTCCTCATGTTTAATAAGTCTCTATAGTTGGGCTCTTAGTTCTTTTTGTTCCTTCCTGTCAATAGCTGAGATACCAAAGATTTCTGTGTTTTTATCAATAGCATCTAATTTCATGAGAATTTATTTTAAAATTTTCTATACCAAGTATCTGAGTTTGAAATCCATCCTCTGCCTTTTTGTCTTAGAATTCTCATTCTTCTCTGCCACTATTACATGGTGTCTCCAGGATAGTGGGCAGCCCAGATTTTATGTATAAACTCTTTAAAACCATCCTTCAACATTCAAGAGTTTTCAAATATAAAAATTGGAGTACAAATTTTCCTAGTACCAATATGTAAATTAAGAGGAGTATGATCAGAAAGCTCTCTTTCCAAAGCATATACCTCGGCAATCTGGGCAGATCAAAATTTTATATATTTTTTCGTAAGTGAAATCGATATGGTTATTAGCCCATGTAAATTTTCTCCCATTCAAAGGCAATTCTCTCAAACCTGCCTGTTCTATAATAGCATTAAAAACAAAACTCCAGTGGTCATATCCAGTGGGTTTGTTTCTATTAGAGCTTCTTCTAATGACATTGAAATCACCACCCATCACACAAGGAATAGCATCATTATGCTGATAAACTCTGGACAATTCTGCTAAATATGCAGCTTTGCCGGCATTTTGTGGATCCCCATATACAATTATGAGATTCCACTCAAACTTCTCAAGAGGTTAGTATAAGGCAAGGTTGTTGTAACTTTTCAATTATGAATTTATAATGCAACATCCATCAGGTATTGACTTGGGATTTCAAAACAGAAATTAATCAATGCTAGGACTTGAATAGTAGAGATGTGATCTCGCAAAAAAAGAATAGTAGAGATGTGAAGTGGAAGAATGTAGAGCGACTAATTATTTGAGGTGTTTTTACATCGCGTATGGATTATGTGAGATATTGTACTTGTCCCCATGGTGGTGATTATTAATTCCTCATCACCTTCTTAATCTTTACATCTGCACCAATGAGCACAAACAAAATAACTGGTCTGGAATAATTATGTTTGTTTGCTCTGTCAGTGGCAGTACATCTCTATCTTGTTTACTCTTAATTGTGAAATTCAAGAATCAGAACTCACAAAGTAATTTTCCTTCTTTTGTGCTACATTAGATCATTAGCTTTTTTCTTGATCTTGCATGTAATCTTTGTTTGGTTTCCATGGGAAGAAAGGCAATTTGTTGATCAATTGTGGCTCATCAGTGTTTTTTTAACTTGTGGGCTCAAGTGCACTGTCAGTTGAGCGTTAATGGCAAGGACGGGTAATGCTTTTGGTCCAAGTTGCAATATCTGCTAGAAAATTGATGCAGTGATCAGCTTTACTTCCTTTAGAAAATTTGTTTCGATAATCAACCTTTATTCCCCATTTCAAAGCTCCAGTTTATATTATTTTATTATTGTAGCCATGTGTCCATATCCAATTATTCAAGAAAAGCCGAGTATGAGATCATGAAGGTTGACACCAGTACATGTAAAATCAGTGCACAACTGAGATTTTTTGCCCAGAAATGTGCATGAAATGCTGGGTTTACTCCATTATTATTTTTGCTCTGGAACCAAATCATCACTATTATGTACAATTATTTATATTCCTAACCAACTACTCCCTCCGTCCGAAAATACTTGTCATCAAAATGGACAAAAAGAATGTATCTAGAACTAAAATACATCTAGATACATTTTTTTATTCATTTTGATGACAAGTATTTCCGGACGGAGCGAGTATAACTTAAAAAACACTTTTTCAAGATGGGACATAATTTACTCTCATAATTTACACTGTTTATTCAGTTCATGAAATCAGTTTTGAACAAGTCTGTCTCATGTGATTTATGGTGTATCTTCCTTAACATGGATTGTGTTATTTTCACACACCCAGACACCCAGTACAGTTAGTGACACTTCCTTGAAAGTGAAGGAAATGTTCTGTTTATTGTAACTCATGTTTATTTTTGTATGTAACAATACTTGCATTGTATGGCCTTTCTCATTAAGGAGCACAGTTGATTTCATGGTGTGAAAAACAGTGGAAGTTAAATTTTGTTAGTGCAGATTGTCTCTTCTCTTCCATGTCCCGAAAAGCTTTAAGTTAAAACTGTAGGTGATACTTTCAGAAATACTCCAGCATTCCACGGAGATGACTCCAAATTGAATTCAACCTCCGTCTAGTGTGTAAGTCATCTTATGAAAATCAAATAATCCCAAAACACTTAGGCACGGTGCATTAACTTCTACCTCGTTTCTTGTTTCTTGACATATCAACCAATAAGAGATGTGGGGTGTGCATGCTTTTAATGACTTGAGACTACTAAACACGACATGCAGTAGTTAGTTTATTGCATGCAATGCTATTAATTAGCAAATAAACATTAAGGTTTCTCGTTTTTCCCTCCTTCTTGGTCACGGTGCATAACCTAAGATGACTTACTCACCTAGACGGAGGAAGTAGATGTTTTTGGGGTCGTGCGCTTGGAATTGCTCTAAAGTCATACTCCCTCCGTATGGAAATATTTATCATCAAAATGAATAAAAGAGAATCAATGAGTATTTCCGGGGAGTGTTATTTATTGTAAAAAAAATGTTATTGTTGGACGCAGGCCTTGATACCCAAAAATTGTATGCGTACCCCGCAAACCAAAACCAAAGCGCCGCCGCCGCCGCAAACCGATTCAGATCTGCGACATTCCGATTCTAACCCAAATCGCCGCGCAATTTCAACTCCGATTAGAACAGCGAATCGTAGCCCCTGTCGGATCGAATTCGATTTCGCGGCTGAATTTCAAGTCGATGCCTCTTTTAATCGCAAGCCCACCCCACCGAACACCAACACCAACACCCACCACTGATTTGTTCCCCAATGCCTAGGAATGATGCGAAGCTCCCGCGCCGCCGCCGGCCGCGCGCGGACCGCCTCGGTGACCTCTCCGACGATCTGCTCCATGATATCCTGCGCCGCCTCGACACCCGCACCGCGCTCGGCACCGCGGCGCTCTCCAGGTGCTGGGCCAGCCTACCCCGCGAGGTCCCCGTCCTGGACCTCAAGGTCACCGACATACTGCCGCCGCGCTACCACCGGTGCATCCACCTCCGCAGCGACGCCAGGAAATCAAAAATCAGCTCGACCTTGTCTGACAGGAGGCTTCTAGAGGCTATTGCTGCCCGGTACGAGCGCCGCGCCATGCGAGCCATGGTCCGCTCCGTCAAGAACCTCCTGGCCAGCCGAGCTCGCCGGCGTGTGGAGAAGCTATCGCTCGAGGTCTTCGCCTACAGCACCTCGGCCTGCATCAACCGCCTGGTCGTGGACGCCGTCGATTCCTGGGGCGTCCTGTTGGATATATGAGCAATTTACCGAATGATTTTATTAACAGAAATAGTAGATAAAACATGGCTAGTATAGCAGTAATAAAATAAGCCATGTGATTTGACAAAGAGAAGGTAAACAGCATGTTCATATATGAACCATAACTAAACATATCTAGAGCAGACAGTATAGCAGGTTGCACATATGAAATAGAGTCTAACATACATAGGGCAGAAAGTAGAGCCAAGAACTGTAGTAGGACTTCTAACAGAAAGGAGAAGAACACGTACGGCACAGCAGCAGCAGGAGCGCTGGACTTGGGGTCGGTGTCCTCGCCTGCCATGTCGTCGAGGAGGTCGTGGACGTCGGGGAAGAAGTCGTCGTCGGGGAAGTAGTCGTCGGCGACCGGATCGTCCGTGATGAAGCAGCCAGTAGTCGCGCTGAGCGCTCCCCAAAAACCTTATCACCCTTCTTCCGTACAGGACTCAAAGGGTGCGGTTCCGGAGGCCTACTGTCCCGACCAGCGGTGCACGCCGCAAGCCGGGATGAGGAAGAACGTAACAGCAGCGCAGTGCTCAAGAACTTGTGGCGAGAGGAGGAAGAGATTCTGGTGCGTCTCTCTGAGAGGAGCGACCTCCCTTTTATAGGCGCAAGAGAAGGAGGCGAGAGGTTGCGCCGGGAGCTGAAGGGAATGCGGGAGACGAAACGAACAGACAGCAGCCGAAGAGGCGCGCCGTTCGGATTCAGTGTCCAGGCACAGAAAAAAATATTTCAGCTTCCGAGTGACCTTTCGCATACCCGTAGTGCGTGGCAAAAATTTAGACATCGGCTCGGCTCATTCCCGCGGCGCGCGGCGGAGGAGGAGCGCGCGTGGATGTCCCTCTTGTTCTCATGCTCATATAAGTGGGGAAGGAGCCTCCCTTATAAAGAGGTCCAACTCCCTCTAAACTAGCAATGTGGGACTAAACTTTAGTAGTATCTCTTGCCTTGCACAAATGGACTAAGTGGGTCTCAGGATTTATTAGGAATTTCTGAAATAGTTATTGGGCTCCCCAATATAGACTAAATTCCAGCACGTCCGGGATCTAGAGGTTGTTGCCACGCCGACGGGGCCACTCGCGTCTCCCAAGCCGCCGGCCTACAGCTTCCCTCATGGCATCATCAGCAGGAAGCCCGGCGAGTCCCGACTGCGAAGCCTCAAGCTTGCCAACTGCTTGCCCCGGGCGCTCCTGGGATTCAACGCGCTCACCACGCTCGTCTTGCGAGATCCGCTCCCATCGCGACTGCTTGATTCGGGTGCTCGTGCAGTTCTTCCAAGGTGCCATCACCGTGAACGATCTGATCTTGCGGTTTACTGGGCCTGAGATGTGGATCATGCCGAAGAATCCCTTCTCTGCAATGTCGAACCTAAGAAGGCTGCTCGTCGCCGACGTGCCTTCCTCATGGGACGCCTCATGGCCGCGCCTGCTCATCGAGGCGGCACCGTTACTTGAGAGCCTTTATGTGCATGTCTCCCACAGCGAAGGCGAGCCAAGACAGGAGGTGCCGGGGGAGACCTCGGCTTTGCGCCATCACCATTTGAAGGAGCTTGTTGTCATTGGATTCCAGAGGACGGAGAGGCAGATGCGCCTTGTGAGGTTCGCCGTGGAGGTATCCACGGCGCTGCGGCGTGTCGCTCTGCTCAAGCAGGGACGCGTCGAGGAGAAAGGGTCCTGATGCGACTGGGAGGTGGTGAGCCAGCAGAGCGCGTGGTGCGACGAGGAGAGGCTCGCCGTTCTGGATGGCATCGGCTGTTCGACGGGACAGATCGAAGTGGTGCTCAGTTGAATTGAGCTTATGATGTTGGAGAATTGAAGGTGAATCTGGCTCCCCAATCTGAATAAATGGAACCTGGCCGGTGGGGTGGTTTCCTGCTGCTCCAACAATGTCCCAACATTTCCCAAAAAAAAAAAACAATGTCCCAACAATTTATTTGTATGCCATGTGTGTGAACTGAAATGTTACATTCAGTTATTTTGGTGCTGCTGCTTTGTATCTGAACTTACTGAACAATGAAGGTCATGCAATATGATTGGAATATCATGGTTTCTTGTTTTATTATTATCCTATTATAGTTGTTGTCTTTTGGGCGGGCGAAAAAATGAGATGACAATGGTGTACCATTTAAATGCGCATATACTTGTGATTAGACGGTCAAAATGCCTGAACAGGTCTTGTAAACTGAGAAGAGTAGTCATCGATGTCTGCAACTGGAAATGCCCTTCGAAAAATGTCGACAGCGAATGTGAAATGGTCGAGTGGAATCACTTGAGTGCAAGGAAAAGTTAGTGTATGGTGCTTAGGTGAATCTACATTGGAATTGCATGTACCCCTTTGGGATTATGCTCTTGTTAGTTGTTTTCTTGTGGACGGGCGCGACAATGAGATGACAATGATGTACTGTTTAAATGCGCATATGCACGTGATTAGACCGTCAAAATGCGTCAATTGGTGTTATAAACTGAGAAGAGCAGTCATTCATGATCTGCAGACTGGAAATGCCCTGTGAAAAATGCAGTCAGTGAACCTGAAGCGATCGAGTTTGAATCACTTGAATCAGGCTCAGCTGAAAACAGTGCCACTGAATCTGATGGACATGAATGGCGTTCATATATACTCCCTACAAAGTTGTACTAAATCAGCGATACTTATTTTGAGACGGAGGGAATACATATATATGCTTTAGTTCAGTTCAACCTGCTCCCTGCTGATGTGCCTGTATAATCCCGAAGCTGCTGTCTCGGCTCCTTGACTTAAGAAGGTGTCTTCTTACTGACATTGCTCCAAACCAGTATGTGTTCATATGTACTTATCATTATGTAATGTCCTCTCTAACAAACTTTATTGTACCCTCAACCGACAAATTTCAAATGCCTTGCTCGTTCTGTGGGAAAATTTCATTTTGAAACGACCGAATCTAGTGAGAACCCCATAATACAGAAGATGTGTCCTACAGGGAGTTTATGGCACTTTTCTATATACATGAACACAATGTGGTTTGCTCCGTGAATCTGCACTGTCTATATGCATGAACAGACAGGAAACACACTTTTACATGTACTCCAAGGAAGTGTTTGGTAGCCCGTGTTCACTTCAACTAGGCCGAGTTGGGCCAACAAAACACGATTGGTTACGTACGAGGCGGGCTGGCTCGCATCGGCATGAACCTTAAAGCATCCCAGAGCCTAGTTCGATGTAAACCCTCAAATCGGCAGTTTCCAGTGAGCCAGAATGAGTGCGGCGCAAAGACAATGTAGCTCTCACGCGAGGGAG